ACTCCACCAACAGTGCATTAGTATCCCAATTTCTCCACACCCTCTCCAGTATCTGTCCTTTTCCTCTTATGTCATGTTAGCCAATGTCATAGACATGAGGTGGCACCTCAGAGTTACATTGATTTGCATTTCTCTGTCAGTGATTTAGAGCATCTTTTTCATATGATTTTTTATTTTATTTTATTTTTTCTTTCATTTATTTTTTTTTAGGCAATTGGGGTTAAGTGACTTGCCCAGGGTCATGCAGCTAGTAAGTGTCAAGTGTTTGGTCTGAGGCTGGATTTGAACTCAGGTCCTCCTGACTTCAGGGCCAGTGCTCTAACCACTGTACCGCCTAGCTGCCCCCTCATATGATAACTAATAGCTTTGATTTCTTCTTCTGAAAACTGCACGTTCATATGCTTTGACCATTTGTCAACTGGAGAATGGCTTTTAATTTTTATAAATTTGACTCAGTTGCCTATGTATTTGAGAAATGAAATCCTTATCAGATAAACTTGCTATAAAAACTTCCCCCCGTTTTCTTGCTTTATTTTTAATTTTAGCTCGTTGGTTTTGTTTATGCAAAAACATTTAATTTCATGTAATCAGAATTATCCATTTTGCCTCACATGTTCCTTTCTATTTCTTCTTTGGTCATAAACTCTTCCCTTTTCCATTTGAGTAGTATGTTATTAAAAGTATAAATTAATTTTGGTAATATGGCCATTAAAATTTTTTTTGGCATAGCCTAGTCATGAGCACTGAATTTCTTCCGCTATATACTTTTTATTTCTTTAAGTAGCACTTGTCATCCAATCTATGTTTTTTTGGGGGGTGTGTGTGTGTGTGTGTACTGTGATATATTATATTTTAGTGATTTTCAACAATATGCTTGAGCATTCTGGATAACCACTGTTTGGCTGTGCAGCTTTGAAATTAAAAATGGGTTACTTTAATGTGATAAAAATGACTTTCTGCTTTGTAACTTTGGGGGTGGGCAGAGTGGGAGTGCGTTTTCATGCCATTGGGATTATATATCATCCATCTCTTTAGTGTGATATCACATAACTCATATATCTCATTTTTTTTAGCCACAAAACTAGTTTATTAAGCTTTTATCACCTTTCACCTAAACTATTGCAGTAGCCTTCTAACTGATTTCCCTGCCTCAATGATTGCTCTTTCTGCTCTAATTCCCCTTTTACTCAAAGCTACCAAGGTGATTTTTCTGAAGTGTAAGTTTGACCATGTAACTCTCTTGTAACTCTCTCCCTTCCATCTCCCCTTCCTTCCCCCACTTCCCTCAGTCCCACCTCCTCATTATGCTACGTTGGCTTCCTTCAGAATCAATAAAAGCACCAACCTCAATAATACAGCGCTTTAAGGTTTGCAAAGCACTTTACAAATATTATTTTACTTGATTCTCACAACAACTCTGGGAGGTAGGTACCCTTATTATCCCCATTTTACAAATGAGGAAACTGAGTCAGTGAAAAAAAACCCATACTCAAGCTAATAATATTATATAGCTTTATGAACAATATAGGGAAGGGGCATGACTTTTTTTGTTTAAAAAAAGGATTTGCAGCTACATTAAGGTACCACCTCTCACTTCTAACACTTGCTTTAGTTGTCCTGTGCTCATATGCCCTTCTGTCTAGGAGGAAAGTGTCTGTTAAGTGACTAGTATATACTTCCTCTTCCAGAGGTGTATTTGTATTGTGAAAGAGTAAAACAGAATGCATAAGGAGTAGTTGTCAAGGTGTTAAGTTGTGGACACTAAAGCAACTGAGTTGAAATAGTTTGGGTAGGAAGACCTTATTGGGGCCCTTAAAACTGCTGTTCATGCCAACAATGACAGTCTCCTCCTGGGTTGTAAGGCTCACCCTATATTGAGTTATAGCAGTACTTGAACATGTGAAATCTGCGGATAATCTAATCATTTTTTTTCATCATTTAAATTTATCCCCAAAGCTTTTCTCACAGTTCCTAATAATTGGCGTTTGAATTTAACTTATTTCTATTTTTCCTGATCATCTTGGTGGGAATGTGACTTTATGGTAACATAGCAAGAAGCAGAACCTGGTAAGGAAGAGGGCCTAGTAATGAAGAGCCTACTTGGAGAGTCAATACGTAATGAGTTGGACCTGAATAATTGAAGTATGATTATATATGTATTATGCAATTGAAGTATGATCATTCACTACAGTTGTTTTATTTTGTTTTTTGCTACTAAGCATCATTTAGCTCTTTCAGAATCTTAGGGTTTCTTTCTTTGCAGTCAAAAGATTGCACTTGTTGGTTTGTAAGCTGTGCTTTTAAATAGAAATGAAAACTTTCATAATGAAACAATTTCTGCATTTGAGAAAGCTAAATTACAGTAATTAATTATGTTAGATTATAATGGAGTTATTGTAGAGCCAAAATAGTCCTCATAGGTACTATGGAAAAGATTTTTTTTTTCTTTAAAATGTCTACATTAATTTCTTGCCTTTTATTTCTTCTCATCTCCCTTTAGATTCTAAAGTGGTCAGACTGTTGTTTGCCATTAGCCTGTAGACCTGGAGAACCTTATAAGCTATTTGCTGAAGCAAGTATAGATAATTTCAGTGAGCTGGGCATTGCATTCATGGAAAACAGGCTCCAAATGGATAATGGAATGGTACCACAAAAGATTGTCTGTAAGTATCTTCATGAATGGATTCATAATAGTAATCTGTAATATGTTATTATTTTAGCCAAAAGGACTATTTTTTCCCTTTAGTTACTAAGATTCAAGACCAGTGAGTATTTTAAGTCTAATTCAAAATCGTGTAAGGGTTGAAAAAAACCAAACCAAACATTTAACAGTGGTAGGATGCTTTTATCATACAGTATTTTAATGCTGTCTCTTTCACCTCTTGACACTTAGAATCCCTAGCTCCGTTTATGATTTAGCTCAAGTGCCACTCTTCTACTCTGTATTAATCTTGTATGTACTCATTCATGTATGTGTTTTCACCCTATTAGAATGTAAGCTTCTCAAGGGTGGCAGCTGTTTTTGCTTTTTCTTTCTATCTTCAGTGTGCCTAGTACGTAATAATGGCTTCATAAAGCTTATAGATTGATTCATTTATTATGCTTAGTTGAAAAGCTTATAGAATACCCTTAAAAAGGACTTCCTTTTATTCTCCTTTCTAGGGTGCTATCTTTAAATTCAGAAGCCATGTTATTTTTGCTGTCTCAGAATACCTTTCACTTAAAACTATTTCTTAGCCACTTTGTGCTTCTACTTCTTAATCTGTATGTTTGATTGAAGTTATAGTAGTTGCTGCCATGTCTAAGCTCAGTGGCTTGGATCTTAGTTTTTTGAAATTTTCTTTCAGATTTTTATTTTTTGGTAAATGTTTGTTTTTAAAGTGCTTCTGGAAAATTATTTTTTAAGTCTAGAAATCTTTATTAAATGTGTGTAGTGTGAAAATGTTTCTTCCTTAATTTAGAAGGGTTTGTAGTCCTAGTGAATTTGATATCTACGAACAAGTGTCTGTCATGTGAAAGTCCTTGAACTTGTGTAAGTTGCTTTGCTTCTTGGTTTGTAGTGTACACATTTTAAATTCAAGGTGCCCAGCAAGTATTAAAATGATCCATTTCTGCAAACATTCTTGGACTTACAGGATAATAGATCTATAAGTGGAAGGAATTTCAGAGGCTATCTTGTCCACCTCCCCCAACATTATGATCAGACATACAAAATGTATAAACTCTTACCTAAAATCTTTGGCATTTTAAAAATTAGAATCAAATGTACTAAAATTAGGGTGGGGAACCTGTGGCTTTCTAGGTCCTTGGGTGTAGCCTTTTGATTGAGTCCAAGTTTTACAGAACAAATCCTTTTATGAAGGGGATTTGTTCTATGAAGTTTGAATTCAGTCAAAGAGCCACACTTGAGGACCTAGAGGACCACATGTGGTCTCGAGGCCTCAGGTTCCCCACACCTGAACTAAAAGCCATTAGACAAATGAAAAAAAAATGCTTTTTTTCCTGTGTTTCCTTCCAGGCTGCTAGCTTTTTGTTTTGGTCTTCTCTTTCTTTTTTTCTTCCTTCCATTCCGTCTTTTTTTCTCCTTGATTTGTACTTATAGTCAATGTTTATAGTTATGGTTCTGCTAATTTAGTTTTGAATCACTTTGTGTAGGTTTTTGGGGTATTTTTAGCTTCAAATTTTTGTGATTTATATAAGAAACAGCATTGTGAAAATTTTCTATTTAGTCTATGTGGGAGGTTCCTTGGATTTATCATGTGGTTGAAGTGGGGTTATGAGTAAATGAAGAAGTGGAATGCCTATCTTAGGTTGTTTTGCTTTGGCATGAAAAATGTGATTTGGGTATAAAATCTGAGTGGTATAAAATGCTGAATCTACAAATTGTAGATATTGTCTTTCTTCCAACTTTAAATAGTGAAAAACATATCAAATTCATTTAATGTTGATACTACTAACTTAATTTTGTCCTTCCTTTGAACAAACGTTGCATGTAATGTTGATTTGCAATCTCTTTTGTGTTGTTTTACTTAACTTTTTGAAGATAGTATAATGTGAGGGGTTCACTTTGGAATATACTGGGGATTTATAAGATGTGCTGAAAAGAATTTTGTCAGTAAAAATAAAAACAATTATTTTTTCCTCATGCCCTAGCTGTACATCTTCAGGACTCAGTGCTGAAAGAGCTACAGCAGTTGACATCATCCAAGATCACAGAAGTAGAAGAATTAACTTCAGCCTTATCTTTCAAAATTAAACCTGAATGGGAAGGGACGAAGCATTTGGGCAGGGATGACCAGAAGGTTCAGGGTGAGGAGTGTGATCAGAAGAAAAGCAGTGCTTCTCAGGAGGAACCTACCAATGCATCAGAAAAAGGAGATGACATTGATGAACACCATCACTTACATCTTTCAAGCTGCCATGAATGTTTGGAACTGGAAAGCAGCACCATTGAATCTGTCAAATTTGCATCTGCAGAAGACATTCCTGATCTTCCTTATGATTTCAGTAGCAGCCTAGAGGGCAGTATTAACACAACCTGCCATATTGGGCAAGGGAGAAGAGTCAATGTTACTGGAAAGCCACCAAATATTTTACTCTTTGTGGGCTCTGACTCCCAGGAAGCGCATCAAAGATTCCAGCAGCTCTGTTGCATTCTGACTGACTGTGTTGACACTGATAGTTACACAATCTACCACCTGAAGGAGAAGAAGGTGCTTAGTGATCCATGGCTGCATAACTCTTTACTGTTGATCATTGCCACAGAGGAGCCCATTTCTGAAGCAATTTGCCAACAGTTCATGGCATACCTCTCCCAAGGTGGGAAGGTTTTGGGGCTATCTTCTTCCTTCACATTTGGTGGGCTACAGCTGAGAAGCAAAGAGGAACTGAAGAAGACCATTCAGACGCTGGTTTTTTCCAAGGCTGATGACAATGAAATGAAACTGAATGTTCTGACCAGTGGCGGCATTTACAAAGAAGGCACTGGGGAGCTTCTCAGTCCTGGAAGGCTCAAGGGTTACTTAGAAAACATAGAGAAAGACAAGATGATTGTTCATTTGCCTTTTGGAACAAATGGAGGAGAAGCTATTCTTTGTCAGGTATTAAGGACAGAGCTAGTGAGAAATTTAACTGTTTTCCTAGGGCTTTTGCCTTGAAAAGGTTGAGAATGTTTGCATTTTGAGGATCACTTTGACTTAATTGAAACTGAGGGGTTTTTTTGGTTCATGTTGAGCAGTTGGTTTGCTCTAGACTTCTTTTTGTATTGTGCATACCTCTTGAATAACCCAGATCCTTTCAGTGGGGGAGGTGTTTGAAATAACTCTCTGATTAATTGAGGGTTAATTAGGAAACCTTTTTTATTTCAACCTTTATTGTGGAAAACATTTCTAAAATGTATCAGTCTACTTTCCTGAATTAGGAAGAAGAGCATAGAGAACATGATTGATCCTTTCTTTGGTTTAGTATTTTGCAGTGCCTCAGGCTTATCATTCTGAATATAAATGATCATCATCATCATCTTAAGGTGTTGAGAATTGGGCTGACTGTATTTTCTAAAAATATTCTTATTTTTCAATTTTTGTTTTTTCAATTTTATTTTATTTTCGTTTCTGAATTCTCTCCCTCTTACCTCCCCCTTCTCCACTTAACTGAGGAGGCAAGAAAAACATACATATTATAAATATGTATGATCAAGCAAAACAAATCCCCAAATTAGTTATGTCTAAAAAAAAGAATGAAAGAAAATATGTTTCAGTCTATACTCTGCATCCATCATTTCTCTATTTGGAGGTGTTTTATAATGAATCTTATGGAACTGTGGTTGGTTATTGTGTTGATCAGGGTTCCTATGTCTTTCAAAATTGTTTAATTTTATAACATTGTTGTTGTATACATTTTTCTTTTGATTCTACTCACTTCATTCTGCCTTAAATCATAAGTCTCAGGTTTCTCTGAGACTATCCTTGTCACCATTTCTTATGTCACAAGAGTATGTCATCACATTCATATACTATAACTTATTTAGCCAATTGATGGGCATGCTTTCATTTTCTAGTTCTTTGCCACCTTGAAAAGATCTGCTGTAAATATTTTTGTATGTATGGATCCTTTTCTTTTTTCTTTGACCTTTTTAGAGTATAGACCTAGTAGCAGTATCACTGGGTCAAAGGGTATGCACAGTTTAATAGCTGCTGAATGTGTATTGATCTCAGAACACATTTTGGCAATTAGGGACTTTATTAAACATGTATAACTCATGATTTTAGGGGTTTTTTAAATTTATGATCACCTCAGTTGAAAGTTGATGATGGAAAGAGAGACATTTAAAAGTGAAACTCCTTTCCTAAAGATTGGAGTTCTTAGACTTTTTTGGTCAGACCCCTTTGGCAATTTGTTAAAGTCTGTGGACTCTTCCTCAGAATAATATTTTTAAAGGAATAAAATAAGATTACAAAGGGGGTCAATTTTATTGAAATAGTTATAAAAAGAATCCCCCTCACAAATTTACAGACCCCTGTTTAAGAAGTCCCATACTAAGGTTTCAGTAAATTCCTTTTGGACCTAATTTTTTAGCTATTCTTTCTCCTTTTCAGTTCATTCATTCATTCATTCATTCATTCATTCATTCATTTTTCTGTTCATTTATTTTTTATTCATTCATTCATTCATTCATTCATTTATTTATGTATTTATGATTTTAGTGAGTCAGTTGAGGTTAAGTGACTTGCCCAGAGTCACACAGCTAGGAAGTATTATGTGTCTGAGGCCGGATTTTGACTCAGGTCCTCCTGACTCGAGGGTCTGTGCTCTATCCACTGCGCCATCTAGCTGCCCCTTTAGTTTATTATTATTATTTTTTATTAAAAAGATGTTATATCTGTATGTCAATTTATCATATGATCCATTTGAGATGGATCTTATTAAGGGGTTCTTAACTTTTTTGTGACATGAACCCTTTTGGCAGTCTGATGAAGTCTTGCCCCCCCCATTCGCAGAATAATTTTTTAAAAAATTCATGATTGAGGGAAATGCCAAGTTTCAGTTAGAAGTTAGTGAAAAATGAAGATGTAATTTTAAAAAAATACAAGTTCACTATCTATCTATAGACCTTTTTGGTCTCCCCCAAAAGAGGATATTAGTTTCTTTGTCTTTCTAGAACTTTCATCTTCTCTTAAAACATTTAAAGTAACATAAAAAAGATTTTAAAACCAAAATAACTCTTGTAGGTCAGGAAAGATCTAGAATAACAACCATTTTTCCAATTTTGCTACAGGTTGTCTGAATTAATTTTCAAATGTTTTTATTGATATTTTCTGCTGCTTATATCACCATAGTTTTTTGAAGTATCGTTCCCTTCTCTTCCCAGAGAACCTCACCACATAAGAAATAGTATTTTTTAGGGAAAAAAAAAATCAGCGTTAACAGACCAAGACATTAAAAGAGCCGGAAAGCATGTGCAAAGTATAATATCTGTGGACCCTCCACCTTCAAGGAGGGGTAGGTTGGGGTGTCTTCTCATCTCTCTTCATTTGAGTCTTGCTTGATTTTTTATAATTTTTTACATTTACTTTTGATGTTTTGGTGTATCATTGTTCTTTCCACTTACATTGTTGCAATTACTGTGTATTTTGTAGCCTGGGAGTTGGAGGAGGGTGCTGAATGACTCAGGGTCTATGAGCATCAGTTTATCTTTGTTGTTGTTTTTGCCTTCTTTTGTATTCTTGTATACCAGAACATGGAGACAGCTGACATTGTTTTAACTTTGGTTCATAATTTTTGTTTTGTAGAGGTTTGTGAAGTCATGGGAATCAGAGAAAATATTTGTCTAGTCCTCCATCTTGTCACTTGTGTGACTCTGAAGTCTCTTGTGAATTAATTTTTAAAGACTTAATGAAGAATTGTAGGGTCATAGATGTAGAGCTGAGAGGGACCTTGGAGGCCATTTAATCCAAACTTTTTTTTCTTTTTCTTTCTGCAAATACATTATCCCAGAAGGCCCTCTATTTTTTTTTCTTTCAGAAAATTGCTGACCATCTCAGCTTCCAGGAGCTATATTTTAGCTTTGCATAGCAAATTTTAAACCATCCCTGCCACCTCCTAACTTCTCTCTTACTGTCAAGGTGAATATCATCCTCCCAGTACCTTAGGCTCACAAGCTAGGCGTCATCCTCAACTCCTCACTGTCTCTCACTCTGCATATCCAGTGTGTTGCTGAGGCCTGGCAATTTCACCTTTGCAATATCTCTTGAATTCACCCCCTTCTCTCCTCTGACATTGTCACCATTGTAATACAGACTCTTGTCATCTCATGCCTAAATAATTACAAAAACTTGCTAGGATAAACCCTGCCTCTGGTCTTTGCTCATTCCAATCCCTGCTCCACCAAAGTGAGTTTCCTAAATCACAGGTCCAATCATGTCACTTTTCTACCCAATGAACTCCCGTGGCTCCCTATTGCCTCCAGGATCAAAAACAAAATCCTCTGTTTGAGATTCAGAACCTTTCATAGGTTTATAGGAGGCTAGGGCCACCTCCTACCTTTCCAATTTTCTTATACCTTTCTCCGCACAACATACTTTCTGATCCAGTGACACTGACCTCCTTGTCGTTCCACGACATTTTCTGGACATTTTCTCTCTATCCCTCCTGCCTGGAATTCTCTCCCTCCTTAACTACACCCACTGGCTTCACTGGCTTCCTTTAAAATCCTGTCTTTTACAGGAAGCCTTTCCCAACCCCTCTTCATTCCAATGCCATCCCTCTGTTAATTATTTCCTACTTATTATGTACGTAGCTTGTTTGTTTATATTTATTTCTTGTTGTTCCATCCATTAGATTGTGAGCTCCCTGAGGTCAGGAACTGTCTTTTACTCTTTTTGAATCTCCAATGCTTAGCACCGTGCCTGACACATAGTAGGTATTTGATAGATTTTTATTGACTGATTGACAGATGTTACCACCACTAAGTGCATACTTGCTCTAGAAAACTGATTAGATATTCCTGCTCTCTATTTCTCTACCTCACATAGTGAAAGCTGTTGTGCTACATGATTAAATTATGCCATAGTTATAATATAACTTGGTACTTGCAGTTCATTGCCATAGAGGAAAAAAAAGCTATAGAGTAGACCCTCAAAAATGAGATAAAATCTTTAGGTCTTTGATTTTAGATGTTATCCAGTCTAGATGTGATAGACTTCAGATTTTCTCCTCAGGAATACATAAATGGAACAGTATCAGTGACATCAACCAATCATTAATTCAGGCCAGTTCATTTTCCCCGTTCAATTTCAAGAGACTTCATCTCTTGTAGTATAATCTTTAAAAAAAAAAAACAAAACAACAAATCTTTAATTTCATCAGTGTAGAGTAGTCCTGGTAAGGAACTACTTCTTCCAGTGCTGATTGAACCTTCCCTGCAACTCACCTTGAGGAGTTGTCTGAGATACGAAGGTAAAGTGATATCTCCAGGTGGTCTGCATTGTTCAGAGGCAAGGCTGGAACCAGGTCTTCCTGACATTGAGGCTGGTTTTTTGTACACTAAGTTATGCTACATCTCCATAATGTAAATGTAATAATAATAAGTGATTTAATACCATAAGAGAAATATGGTTCTTTAAGGACAAAAGAAAATATGTGATCCTATAAGTAGTCAAGTGAACTTCACATTTGGTACCATTTCCAGTAATTATAAAAAAGAGAAAAACCCAGCTTTCTCATTCTTACTGCTGAAAAAAGCTAGAGGAAGGTATTCGGACTCCAGATTCATACTACTATTTTGAATAGCAAAGTGATTTAGACTTGTCAGTATCTTGTTCAGTAAAATCCCTTATGTTAGTTTAGAGAAAGATATTGTTATTCCTGGCCAAAACTGAGGTCAGAATTGTATATGTTTTTATAATGTTCTTTGATTTATAATTGGAATGAAAATCATAAGAAACTGAGAGATACAAGGCTGCCTTTTGTTGACACCTTCCTTTTGGGGAGATGAGATATTTCTTAAATGCCTTAAGTATTTTGTATGTATTACCAGTTATTGCTGTTATGCCATTTATTTCATATGAAATGCATAGTAGATGGATTATTCTCATAGAGAAAACATCACATTTGGAGTTGGAGGACCTGGATTCAAATTCTGTATATAACACATGCTACTTATGTGATGATGGGCAAGTAGCTTAATCTTCTGGGCCACAGTTTCCTCATCTGGGAAACAGAAGGTTGGATTAGATAACCTCTAAGGTATCTTACAGTTATAATATGTGAAACAAGTGGCGTAGTCTTGAAACTCTATGACAGTGAGCCCAATTAAGTCAATTTGGATTGTCTTACCTATTTAATTAAATGTATTCTCTTTCTTCATGAAGCCCATTTACGTATATGTTGAAGCTATAGATGAAAAATATGTATACCTAGGTCATTGCTTCCTGACATCTTAAAGATGTTTTATTATAAACATTTTTCTTTTGCCAAGCTTTTTTTTTATTTTTTGAAATTATTTTTTCAATCAACAAGTCTATTTTTTTCATTCTTTCCCTACTCCTTTAAAAAAAAAAAGAAAAACAAAATCTTTGTAAAAAATATAACTAGTCAAACAAAACTTTAGTTTCTACACTGGCCACGTCCCTGAAATATATGTCTCAAGCTTCACCTGAGTCCAGCACCTGGAGTCAAGAAGCACTGAGTTGGGGGCAGCTAGGTGGCGCAGTGGATAGAGCACCAGCCCTGGATTCAGGAGGACCTGAGTTCAAATCCGGCCTCAGACACATAACACTTACTAGCTGTGTGACCTTGGGCAAGTCACTTGACCCCATTGCCTAGCAAAAACAAAAACAAAAAAAGAAGCACTGAGTTCAAATTCCGCCATACCATTTACTAGCTGAGTGCCCCTGAGGAAGTCACGTAACCTTATTCTTCCTTGGTTTTCTTATCTGTCAGGTGGTGGTGATAATAATAGCACCTACCCCCTAAAGTTGCTGTGAGGGTAAAATAAGATAATATTTGTAAAATGCTTTGCCATTCTTAAAGTTGACATGTAAATGCTAGCTGTCATTATCATCGTTATTATTATTGTTGCAAAATACTTGAGTCCAGAGATGATGTATTTCACTTTGTTTTTTGGTAGTTTCCTGTAACTGTCTGGCTCAGAGCTTTATAAACTCTTCAAGTATGACTTACTCTGGGAAAATGTAATTGTGAAAGCAGGTTCTTAGTCCTTGAGCTCTGTACCACTCTCATTCCCTAATTACCAACCCTATCCCATTCCCCTACTCTGAATAAAACCTATTCTCTGGATAGATATGTTATGATAAGCTAATTCACAGTTAGGCATATGTAACTGATAAGACCTAATGTTTTATCTTCATGGAGGGATTTGTATTTTAACAGGGCAACAGAGTAGTAAGATAAAGAAATGGGGGCAGCTAGGTGGCACAACGGAGAGAGCACTGGCCCTGAAGTCAGGAGGACCTGAGTTCAAATACGTCCTCAGACTAAACACTTGATACTTACTAGCTGTGTGACCCTGGGCAAGTCACTTAACCCCAATTGCCTTTAAAAAAAGAAGATGAAGAAGAAGAATGGTTCGATTTTGAAATATCAGTTATCCTCTAGGGGGTGCTACTTTTGGGATGGCAAAAAAATGCCCTTCTTTGGTACCCCAAAAATAGTGCGGTGCCTACTCATTAGGGCAGATCTGTGAGCAGTTCTTTATGCTGGTTAGGTGTATACAAATACTACTTTGTATTTTAGCTGAGGGAGAGTGTGGTGTCGTTTATGGCAATATGACTTAAACAATCTTCCAGACTTAGGTAAGTTATTTACTCTTGGTTTCCAGCTTAGGGAGTAAGAAACTTTTTGGCCTTTAGTGCATTTGTTGACATATGTAGAGAGATGATTTTTTTAGTCCTCAAAAATTCAGAATCTGCATTGTGGCAATATTACAAAAACCTCTCAGGCTCTTTTCTAGCCTAGAAGAAGAAGATTGTCTATTGTTTTAGTAAGGCTTTTTGAGGTTTTTTTAATTGGCCCATCATTGAAATAACATATAAAGTTGTCTCAGGCTCTAAATTTTGGCCTTATTCATCATTAGATAAGTATTTTTCTTTTGTCTAACTGGTGAGTGTTTATCTTGTAGCATATATAGGCATCCTAATTCTCTGTTCTTTTCTTTAGGTGCACTTGGAAATGTCTCCCAGCACTTTAACACAAACTCAGGATGCCTTTAATTTGTTGAAATCAAGCAATTTCAAGAGATATGAAGTCCTTAAGGAGATCCTGACTGTCCTTGGCTTAAGTTGTGAATTAAACAGAATCCCTCCCCTGACTCCTCTTTACTTATTCACAGCTGAGGAGGTGAGTACATTTAGAAAACCTCAGTTTATGATAAGTGAACTTAATCTAGTAAATTCTTAGGGAAGTTAATGCTTTTTTTCTCTTTATCAGCTTTAAATGACATATATACACATACACACATCTATGTACGTGTGTGTATGTGTGTATAGTTCATTGTTTCGTTCCATATGAAACATTTCACCTGGATTTCATCTTTAAAGTGATATTTTATATATGTAACAAATCCATGTGTGCCTAAAACATAAATGGATGCTTAGATAATGTGTATACAAAACATGTATATATGTGTATGTATACATGTATATAAGTTTAATAAGGAGAAGGGATTTTATTTCATTTCTGAATATACTTTCTTTTACTTGATACATGGAAAATCTAACGTGTCAAAAACATGATTCTTGAGATTGTAGGGAAACTCTTGAGGCACCTTTTTTGACCACAAACTTGTTAACTTGGGAAAACAATTTATTACTTTTGTATTTTAACTTTATTTTGGTACTGTCTCTAAATCTCTGTAAGAAACCAGAACATTTGCTTATTTCATTCTCCTGAAGTCTGCCACCTAGTGGCACATAAAACTGAGATGTTCTGTTCTCATGCCACACTGGATCAGTGAAGGAAATTCCCAGATAGTTGAGCACTTTACTAGGAATCTGTCTGTTCTTCCTCTCTCTCTACTCTCCCTTTGCCCCCTCAGCTTTCTTGATTTTTTTTTTGGCAAGATAGAGAATGAAATTTTTTGTTGCTTTGAATGCAGTTGGATACCATGATCTTTGTTTGAGTTTATGATATTTTGGTAACGATAAACTTGGAACTTACCTAACAAATGTTCAGGGATTGCCTTAATTGTGTCCATTGTACTCACCTACCTAGGCAAAATAATTTATTTAGTTATTTTAAGAGAGCATTTGATAATCTAGACAATGCTTAATAAATGTTTGTGGATTTGTAGTTGTTTGATATGGGCAGCTAAATGGTGAAGTTGATAGAGTGCTGGGCCTGGAGTAAGGAGGACTTGAGTTCAAATCTGGCCTTAAGACACTAGTTGTGTAATCCTGGACAAGTTACTTAACTCTGTTTGCCTCAGTTTCCTCATCTGTAAAATGAGCTGGAGAAAGACATGGCAAACTACTCTGGTGTCTTTGCTAAGAGAATCCCAAATGAGGTCAGAAAGCGTGGGACGCTACTGAAATGGGTGAATGACAAATTGTTTGATCTAAATACCTTGTTCATTTTGTCTGTGAAAAGGCTGGTCTTAGGAGCCAAGAAGATTTGAGTTAAAATCCTGCTGCTGACAGATGACTTTTGTGTGACCACAAATGGGCAAGCCACTTAACCTTCTCATTGCCCCAGACAACTCTCCACACATCCGCATTGTTACCAACGTTCATTATTTTCTACCTTCACAACATTTCTTCTATATATCTTTTTCTTTCTTTTGGGTATTCTTTCTGCCTCAAGTCTCTCCCCTCTCCACCTCATCCTCCACTTTTCTGCCAAATTGATCTGCCTAAAGTGAAGGTCTGACTAATGTCATCCCTTTGCTCAATAAATTCCAGTGGCTCCTTATTACCTCTAAGATCAAATATAAAAATTCTCTGTTTGGTATTTAAAGCCCTTCACAAAGTGGCCTCTTCCTATCTTTCTACTCATCTTTCACTTGATTCTTTTCCATGCATTTTTGTACTTCAGCAACACCTGTGTTCTTGCTCCTATACAACATTGCATCTCCTGACTCTGTGTCTTCATTGGCTGTTCTTCCATGCTTGAAATACTTTCCCTCCTCACCTTTGTCTGCTGGCTTGCCTGGCTTCCTTCAAGACTCAGATCAAATCTCACCTTCTCAGGAGGCCTTTCAATGTCTCTCACTCCTAGTACCTTCCCTCTGAGATTACTTTTCATCTACTATATTATGTATGTCTTGTATGTACGTCGCTGTTTGCATGTTGTCTCCTCCATTAGAATGTGAGCTCCTTGAGGGCAGAGACTGTATTTTTGCCTTTATTTTAATCCTCAGTACTTTACACAATTCCTGATACATAATGACTACTTACTAAATACTTGTTGACTGACTGACTGAATGATGTCTATGAATTGCTGATCTGTTATTGGTAGAAGTTTCCATACTTGGAGTTCCCCACAGCAATGAAATTGTAGGTCTGGACAAAAATGATTTTTTTGAGTTTCTTGTCCCATGTGAAATTAACTCCCATTTATATAGTACTCCATAAAGTTATTTCTTACAGCAGCTTTATAAGAGAAATAGTGCAAGTATTCTTTTTACAGGTTAAAAAAATAAACTCAAAGAGTCTTGCTTAAAATAGGCAGCAAGTTGGTGAAATAATTTGGGCTCAGGTTTTTGACTGTTTTTTTCCTACTAAGTTACAGCTGCCTCTGAAATGACAGTGGCCTTTAAAATGAGTCATTGATGATTGCACATGTATAACCTATATCAGATTGCTTGCCATGTCAGGGGGGAGGGGAAGAGGAAGGAAGGGGAGGGAGAGAAGGATAGAATTTGGAACTAAAAAAATCTTTAAAAATGTTAAAAATTACTTTACTATGTAATTGGGGAAAAATAAAATATTAAAAAAGTAATGTTAAAAAAAAAGTCACCAGCAAAAAAAAAGTGAGTCATTGTCATTTGTACTTTGTCACCTTGGCAGCTTAACACATTTCATTGGGTCCAGTGGCAAGATATGGATCAGGACAACTGGAGATAACCCCGGACACAGTGGGAGACCTGGGCCTTTTTAAGTTAAGGTCTTTCTGAGTTCTCACTTTGAGGCAGTGCCCATTCAGTTATTAAGGCTAGCTAAGCAATGAGCCAAGGAATGGCCTCTTTTACCTAATTTAAAAAAAAAATCAATCTGGGAGAGGAAGACCCTTGGTTTCTGGCCAAAACAGAAACAGTTATGGTCTTTAAGAAAGAAATCTAGCCTGTGAACTCCAAGATATCTTGCTGGGTTTCAGCCATCACAGTATACATTCATTTGGGCAGAGCACCTGCAGCTAAGGGTATGATATTTGGACAGAGGGAGAAGGAGAGGAGGGAAGGGGAAGGAAAAGAAGGGAAGGAAAAGGAAAGGGAGAAGGAGGGAGGAAGGAAGGAAGGAAGAAGCTGCTGCCCACCTGGAACAGGCCAGTTGGGTCCCCAATGGGGAAGCTTAGACTACTCACAGGTTGTTGTTTGTCCTTTGTTCTTGAAGAAGACCATGATATCAGAAGGTGATGCCATGGCTTTTGAGTGAATTTGATTTCAGTGAGGGAGGGCTGTGCAAAATCACTAGCTTCACTTTCTCTTCCAGAGCTATTTGGGTTCAATGGCAAGATATAGATTAGGATGACTGGGTATGGCCCTCATGAGATGTGCAGAGAGAAGGATGTGGGGCTGGACCGAATTGCCTGCTGTTCCCAGACTTTAACATTTAAACTGGAAGATTTCTTCATTGTGTTCGTCCTTAACATTTCAATTTTGCAGACAATAATGGCTTGCCAAGATTATGAAGTAGGTATGGGGCAAAACTGGAGACTGGGACTCTTCTAGTGACATACCTAAACTTTTCTTTATGACCAGGGATATTGTTGGTCATTTAAAAGCTAATTTCTCTATCTCACCATACTTTGCATTTTACTATTGCCGACGTGTACTAGAGAAACTTCAGCAAGGGTATACTTTAAAGGTAGAAGCAAAGCTTATGTATTTTTTTAATCTTATGAGAGAGTGTGTGTCTCAGTGTACTTTATAAACTCTAAGAGGTTGTTTTACTAGAGGCTAATTATAAATGAGACCTTCTTTGTGGTTTGATAAGTCAGTTAGTCCTCCTACCTGGATTCTTCTACTTGGCATCATTTTACTGTTGTTTCAGGGACAGCATGTTTAATCACAAGCTCTTGGCTTAATCTTTGTCTGTAGATTATACTCTTCAAATAAAGTTTTGGTAATATTGGTCTTGCAGTATATCTTTATTAGAATAAATTACAGAATATGGAGGCATTGTATGTGTGGTAACCTATATCTTGCCTCATTAGTCTTGGAATTCTCCCAAGGGATATATTTTCCTGTTAAGCAGGCATCCCCATTATTTGACAACCATGGGAATAGAATATGTGAATCAACTTTAAAAAGTCCACAAAAAAAGTTTCTCATTATAAACAATAAATTGCATCACATGGCTTTTGGGTGGATCAAATGAAAACTTAATAATTAAGGCACTCTGTAAACTCCAAAGTGCCACATAAATGTCAGCTGTTCACATCGATACTCATATTGTACCAACTGAATGATTTTTTTACACATTTCTAAACTGTTTAGGTTTGCCCTGAAATATGGGCAAAATTTGTTGATTATGGTTGTAACCCACCTTCACTGTCTTATAATTTTTGCATCTTCTTCACAGTGGTCTGTTAGAGGAAGAAAAAGTCTTTTATTTATTGTTATTAATAATAATTATAGTGGAGCAGGAAGGTGCTATCTTAGTTGTTAGATTCTTAGTAGAATTTTAAAGGCTCGAGTTAATGGAAACTAGGAAAAGTAATTGACTTTGGTTGTATGACAGTTGTAGAACTGATTATTAATTCTGCTTTTATTTTTTGTAACATATTTTTGGTTAAAAGAATTACTGAATTTACTGCCAGTAAATCTTTTTTCAATTTTATTTTTCTGTTTTGGAGGACAGGGTGTGTATTGCTTATGCATATTGAAAATGGTTGACAGGGTTTCAATCTAGTTAATTTGTTGACGATTCAATGGGTATTTTGGCTCTAAATAGCCACACTAATAGAAGAAAATATAAGTGTAAAATGTTTCTTTTAGAATATGATGCTTATATTAATTTTGGGGGTTTTTTTCTGTTATAATATGAAGATAGCTAGTTTAAAACTTTTATGATTGGTATCAATTCAGGAGGCATCCAGATTTTCTTAAGTTCCTTTCTCAGATTCTGACATTGGGACATTTCAGAGTTCCTCTCTTTTGCATTGAATTTGTGGGTATTTGT